TATGAATATAGCATTATAACGTTTTAAAACGATTTTTATTCGTGTATCATATGACAATTATAAAAAAAAAAAATATATATATATATATACCTAATAAGTCAATGATAACAATAAAAAAAAAAAAAAAAAAAAGCCGCCGTAGGCTTTATGGCCTTCTAGCCTGCCCCCTAATCCGCCACCGACACGAACAACCGGTCGGGAAATCGGCGGACGAAAACGTTTCACGTTTTACGCGTTTCGAGTGCAATTCCATCTTGGTCCCGAAAATTTCGGCGACGACGCGAACCGATCATTCGGCCGATGACAGCGCGCGGGACGGATAACAGACGTGGAGCGGTGCGCGGCGCACGGCAGCGCGCGATCGTGTTGCGCGGCGCGGCGGCGGGGCGAGACGGACGTCCGCGCGACGATGGTCGGAAAACGGGAGTGGGCGGTGGAAAACGTTTCGACGACGCGAAACGTTTTACGCGGTCGCACCAAGAACGTTGCGACCGACGTCCGCGCGGCGACGATCGGACGGGATGGGATACAAACGCGGTCTATAAATAAATGTTTTTAAACGTCGTGCACGCGCCGCGTTCGGAAACGTAACGGCCGCGCGTATCCGACGGCGAATGAAACGGGGGGGCGCGCGGGCGGAACCCGACGGGGAAGAAGAATCGGCAGCTCATTTGCATGAACCGCGGCGTATAAAGGAGCCCGGGTCCGGCGGCGGCCGCGAGTCGTCGTCCGCGTGCCGTTATCGTCGCGCGCGTTTCCCGGGCGCGCGCGCGTCCATCACCCGCCCAACACCGGAACGTCCGAACGGACCGGCCGGCGGACATGGACCGGCCGGCGGACACGGACCGCCGTCAACCGCGCGGACCGGTCGACCGGGTCCGGCTGCTGTGCGCCATCAGGTAAGCACACGAGCAGGAGCAACGCGTTGTACCGTTACCGGTCGGTCGTCTTGCGCGCGTGTCATCGAACCGCGCACCGTCTCTGCCGCGCCAGTAGTGCGTTCCGTCCGCGTTTTTCCAACGTTCGAAAATCTTCCAACTCGCGCTCCGATTTCCGATCCTAAAACGCTAAACACTCGTTTCGTGGTCTGGACCGGGCCCGTGTTTAAAAATTTGGCGCCCCCGGCCACCATGATCTGGCACCCCTAAAAAAAAAAAAAAAAAAAAAAAAACATAAAATCAATATGAAAAATATAACACTTATTATTCCGTCCATAATCGAGATACTTCAAGATTAAAATATAACTTATGCATGAAAATCGTTTAATACTTTTTTGTTTTTTTTTGATTAACGAATCAAACAATTTATAACATATAAAACATACTGTTTTCTTTTTTTTTTATGCTTTTATTTTTTTTCATTAAGTACATCTTTTTTAAAATTAATTTTACTAAAATATTTTGTCGCCCCTGACACTTGACGCCCTCGGGCATGTTTTTTACCCGTGCCCCCTCCCCTAAATACGGGCCTGGTCTGGATACGTAGCTTTTTGCAATCGAAAAACAACATTATCTAACGATATCTACGGCTTTAACGGGGGAAAGAAAACGAATTGCAATATGTATCCTATCATTCATATCCCCCCTCCCCCCAATCGTCTGCTCGACTATTGCGCAACATCTTCAAACACGAATGTCTCGCGAAAAGTTTTCATGTCGCGATATCCCGCTGTTCGGTTTACAAAAACACCCAGGAACCTCTTGCAGTAGCGCCGAATTACAAAAAATGCAGTATGGCGAATATCAAATTTTAATAGTACCTACCCACCTACCAATTGGTGTAAACGGTGGGGGGGGGGGCTAAAACCTTACCATTATATTATATTCAAAATTGATATTAATACTTCTATTTTCATATTGTGACTTATCATTAGTTTATGATATATCCGATATAGGTGTTCACTCTATATGTAAAATAATATTTATTTTCATTACATCGCACTATCGTTATCGTATTATCTGTGTTAATATTATGGTCTTCTGGTTTGTATCGACGTAAACAGCGTACCACAACTGATGTGCTTTTACGTAATAATGTTGAATATTAAATAGTTTTAATACTTTCATAGCACATTTTACACATTGGGCTGTGGGTATTACGCCATGTGTCACCTACCCAGCACCCAGTACCCACCCACCACATAATTCACTATGGCAGTCGCCATACTTGGTCATAGGGATCGGCGCCATTGCCCTCTTGTGTGGTCACCGGGCAGCGCTATCCATTAATCCTGCAGGAAGACGTCTAAAACTCCGTAATAGTACCGTGATTTATAATAAAATGGTTCGAGTCATCCGAGGTACGTTCCGTTACTATAAAGTGTACTACAATACACCTATAACGTTGTTAAATTACATAATTATCGCGCGATATTATTTTCACGTTACTGCTGTTGATTCGTAAACATTTCAAGTGCATGTTTACATTAGTCACCCAAAGTATACAGATTGTAGGTGATAACTTAATAACTAAAACAATTATAATACTTTTAATTAATTATTTTTGCAGACTCGTGTCTCGTACCTATCACATGTACTATAACATTACTACTACTGCATGCCCTTATCTCACGTACTCTACACGTTCTACGGTTTACATTCATATACGAGTGTCAGTTTTACACGTAAATAACAGATATGCAATGTGTATGCAATACAACAAATGTTATACGCGTTATTGGTTACAACCGTCTAATTACTACACATTCCGGAACGATTGCAATAATTAACATGATATTGTAACCAGAACTCATAACTTATAGCTCTAAAAAAGGTAGTTAAAAGCGCTTTAATATCCTCTTAAAAATATTCATGTAAGTGCTAAATAAGCAACACAAAAATATGTAAAAAAAAAAACAATTTTCACTTATTATTAAAATACCGATCGCATCGCTATATGATACAAATAAATATATAATTCAAACCAAAAGAAGAAGAATTAGTTAACTAACATGAATTAATTATAAGTATAAATAATTAATACAACTTTAATTACTTGTTATTGTTGAGAAAAAATGTTTTAAATGCTTCGGAACTGAAAAAGACTTAAAAAAGAAAATTAACACTTATACTTTGAATCATGCAAAAATATGGAACAACTTCGTATTTAGCTTCCTAGTTATCTGAAACAAATTTATAGCTCACATAGGTGTTTCAAGGACCAATAAAAAAAAAAAAAAAAAAAAAAAACAAAAAACTGTAAATGCTATAAGTTATGAGGGCTGAGCCCTAACATTACGCTAAAAACGGTTTGAATTATTGAAATTAGCGAAGTCTCGAACCACGGTCTGGCTGTACACGGGGTCTAAGGGTCCGACACCGTTAACGCAGCTGAGGGGGGGGAGGGGTGCGCGCCCACGTCGAAAACATGTTCCCTCTGAGCGTTCGTGTATAGTTGACGGGGCCGTTGCAAGGGGGTGGCGAGAGATGCCTACGTCCCGGGCGCAATTCCTGGGAGATCGCAAATATGAAAAATCTTGCATTTAATGTTAAAAATCACAACGGTCAATGTCGTATAATTTGTTTTCAAAGTATTTAACATACTTCGTTATAAATTTAAGCAATCATTGAAAATAATATCTAATAAGCGTAATATTTTTAAAAAAATACGTAAGGGCGCAATGTTTGGTTGCTACGGCACTGGGTACAGTGGACGAACGTCTCGTGACGGACCGGCGGCGCTCGGGGTCCGCGACGCACGCGAGAGCGCGCCATTGCGGTACACGACGTTATCACTCCGGGTCGTCACGTGATAACGCGGTATTCGTATCGAACAATCACGGTTTAAGATATACTAAACTTATCTTAGACCGCGCGAACAATGATTGTTGCCGTTGTTATTGTTATTATTACGACCGGTGCTATCACGACGGATTGATACGCGCTGCGATCCAAATCGATTCCCTTTTATTCCGTCCCGTGTCCGTCGGTCGCTCCTCGCGTGTTTCGCGACGCACGCACTCGTTCTTTATTCGCTTGCAACAATCGTCGCCGATAACACATTAATAATCGCGTACGAACGCGCGGGCATTCCCCCCGTGGGGGGACACTATTGTCTTACGACGTTATTTGCCCGTTCGCGTTCCGACCATGTACTACCTGCGGTGCGCCGAGAATTTCACTCAAGAAACACTGTACGTATTTGCTGCCGAGCACCGCGGCTTCCGGACGTAAAACGGTTTTGTTTAATTGAATTATTATTTACAATTGTTGTTGGTACTGCCTGTGTTATACATGTTGTTTCATTCACGTTTCATCTAGACGATCTCGTTCTCACTATACCTATCTATCATCTGTCTCTTTCTCCCTTGTTTTTCGGTCAGCTGAGTAGGTAGTATAGGTTCAAACATATATGCACCATATCAATAGCTGTAAGGTTTATGCGTTTTGTTGTCATCGTCGCCACTACCGCTCTCAATGATTAGGCCGGTTGTGCGGACCACCGTCCTTGCGGCACCGCGAAAACTGTGTCCAACGAAATCGTATCGCTCTAACAGTAGTGTGGGCGACGGGCCTAGAGCGTCTGCCAAGACAAGAGCATCAACCATGTTAAAATATATTTGGTAAGAGTCGGTTTTGCAGATGCTTACGCCCCCCAAGCGAATAATGTTTAAATTACGGACGTGTGACAAATGATAAGTTTAGTTTATAATAACAATGATAGTAGTTTTACCATCCTTTTATATAGTTCAATTAGTCGTACAATAATTGTGTTGATATATATTGAATTATGTAAACATAAAAGCCAACTAATACTATATTTTTAGTTTTTTCCTCTAATTATCTTAATTAATAGTTTAGGTATTTGAATGATATTTATTCTAATTAGCAAAATCTAGTCAACAAATTCTTGAACCATGCTTGTCTATTAATACTATTATGTGTAAAAAGAATCCATAGTAACGTATTATTTCATATATCCTTTTTAATCATATTATTTTCTTTTAAATTCAATTGTTTTAATTAAAATAAAACAATGTTTAAATTGACAAATCTTTTCAGGATGGGCAGTTTTACTTCTTCAACTAAAATAGACAATGAAGATTCTCAAGATAAAGATTTGGTTTTTAACTCTGAAGTAACATATCAGCAATTACTTGACTATTGTCGCACTCATAATGATCAATGTACTTTTTCACAACTCATAAAAAGAACATTTTCAACCGTTTCACATGGTTAGTATAATATATTTAATATATATATATATATATATATATATATATATTGTTATTATTGTTCATAAAACATATAATAGCCATGCTAATGTTTATGTTACAAGTGTAATTTTCGTGTTAAAAGTATTCTTTTTAGAAACTGAAACAAACCAATGACAAATCAAGAAAATGGTCCTACAATTATTATTTTTATTTGTATTAGTATTTATGGCGTACGAGCAGAAATTTTTATAGTAAAATATGTTTTTTGTCATTTTTATTTCTTATCATTTATATATAAAATATTACATTTAGGTAAAAAGTATAATCAATCATATGCCTTAAATAATTTTATTTTTTGAAAATTTTTATTGCAAATGTTTGGTCAATACAATTTGTGGGTACATGGTTATTAATACTACCATTCTTAGGATTAAATTATTCTATTAAGCACATGAGTAAAAAAAAAAAAAAACATACTCTTTATTATTATTTTCTTATCAATGTGTATTATATTTATTAGTTTATGATTATTTGATAAATTTTTAATTGCATTTTTTTTAGACCCACATAGCATAGAAGGAAATCCAATAAGAGTACTTCAATGGAACGTTTTATCTCAAGGTAACTATTATGGTTGTACATTTTGTTGTAGAGTTATAATTTTATCAATAGTAATAATTATAATTTTTTAACTACAGCATTGGGACAGAATAATGATAAATTTGATAGCTGTCCATTAGAAGCTTTAGAATGGAAAAGAAGACGATGTCATATGCTTGAAGAAATCTTAAGACATAATCCAGATATTATTTGCTTACAGGTTAATTTTTTTAAATAAATTACTTTTAGTACTTTCCAAATATTTTATTAGTTATTTATTTTTTATAGGAAGTTGATCATTTTGATTTCCTTAGCAGAGCTTTAGCAACACAATCCTACAGCGGTCTGTTTGTGCCTAAACCCGATTCTCCATGTGTATATATAAAAGATAACAATGGCCCCGATGGATGTGCTATATTTTACAAGAATAATAAATTTGATTTACTAGACAAACAAGAAAAAATATTGCAAGTATGGACAGTTCATAGCAATCAGGTATGCTTATTAACGAAACATAAATCACCTATTACGATTTTTATTGTATTCTTTAGGTATCCTTATTATTGGTGTTAAAAGACAAATGTACAGAAAAAGAGTTATGCATTTCTACTACTCATTTAAAAGCTCGCAAAGGAGCTTTGTTATCAACGTTACGAAATGAACAAGGAAAAGATCTTCTAGAATTTATCTCTTCTCATGCCCTTGACCGTCCAACAATTATTTGTGGTGATTTTAATGCTGAACCCACGGAGCCAGTTTATAACACAATGTGCAGCTGCCCTGCTTTACCCTTAGACAGTGCATATAAGGTATCTGGCTCAGAACCACCATTTACGTCTTGGAAAATTCGAGGAGGCGAAGGCGAAGTTATGCAAACCATTGACTACATGTTTTACACTAAACATAAATTAACTGTCAGTAGCATACTAAACATGCCATTAGAAAAAGATATTGGTGATAATAGAGTACCCTCAATGTCTTATCCATCAGATCACTTTTCTTTGGTTAGTGATTTTTATTTTAAAAAAACGTCTAATGATAGTGAATAATTTTGTTTTTATTATTTATTTATTTTAATTTTAATTAAATTATTTATGTGTACATGCACTTTTTAAAAAGTTGAAAGGTAGATATATTTATTTTTTGATGAATTGACAAAATAATTTATTGTAAATTATTGAATTAATGTGGTAAAGTTGAACATCTAAATTAGTCCAACAGTCTTTCTCAAATATTGAATGCTTTTTTTCCACAAATTGAATTCTAAAAGTTCAATTTATCAACCATATTTTATTAGCACTGCTTAAGAGCGTATCTGTTTAAATTTTGATGTTTACCAATCAAGCTATAAAATATAGTTAATAAATGTATTTAAATTTGAGATTAAAAATTTTATTTATATTTAAAGATATTGTGACTTGTTTAAACTATATTTATTATTTATTTTATTTATTTAATAAACAAACAATTGTTGTGCAAACTGATTCCGGTTACACTTCTCACTTTATTTCCTATGCCATTACAATTAACAATAATTGAAGTTAATTGGTAATAACTATTACCATGTAAATAAGTTCTTGTGATTTTGATTTATTGCTAATTGTCTTGACATTTTCTTCTGGTCTGCTTTCGATCACTTAATTTTAACTTGATCAATATTTAGGACTTTGATGTCCTGATTCTTGATTTATACGATGATTAATCCATTCATCAGTATAAAATTTGGAGTCTGATATCGTTAAAGCAGTTCTTTTATATAAATAATAGTGCAAACATGAAGCTGTAAAGAAAATTAAAATTGTATTTATATTTGTGTAAGTAATATAGTTCATAAAATAGCATTCAAAAGCTAAAAATTGTGGAACCTATTTTATTTGTTGTACCTAAAAAGTAGTTTACACAAAAAAGTGATGAACATAATGGGTCAAACACTAGTAACTGGTTGATGGTCTATAGCAATGTTGAGTGTTAAAATAGGTTGACTCATTGTAATAATTTAAGATATTAATATTTGTGTTGACACATTTATTTATTAGATAATTTTGAGTGATATCTAACAGTTTACTTTCTACAAAAAATTTGAATACTTAGGTTAATCACTAATTATAGTTATTTGAATGCTTATTTTTTAATACATTTTAGATTTTTAGTTTATGAAATATTATCTAGTTTTTTCCAATTTTTTTTTTTATTCATGTTTTATTCATAAAATAAACCCTCGCCAGCAATGGTTATTAGGTGATATTAATATTATTATTTCAAAATTATTAATGTGCTGTTTAAAATATTAATTGAAAAATTGATGTTAGTTGACTGATTGAATCACTCGGTTACATTGTTGTTTGGGATACATTGGCATTTCTACAAGCCGAACACTGCATTCAACAGCTAATACTGCAAAGTATATGAACCTTTAAACATGTTGTTCAACGCGTTAAGCAAGTATGTTCTGATTCCTGACAACATGTGCTGCCGTGCGATAAACAAAAAATAATTCACCTATCGTCTGCGGGTTAACTACTAAAAACGACTTATGTATATTGCAACCAGTCGCTTGTTGAAGACCTACGCACTTACTGAACTTGTGGAGAACGAAAAATATGTAAAGACCGTCCGGCCAAAAGAAGTACACTTGGCCTTTGAAACGGTTGGTCAGAGTCCACACCTGCACGAATATGGTGAGCAGGAAATAACCGACGCCGGCGATGATGGTCGACCGGAACTCGTTGAACAACAGCACAATGAAACCGGCCTGGAAAATCGATCAGAATGATAAATCTACCCCTTGGTCGCTCTTCCTATTTTTGGCGATACACGTTAACATATATTATGTTCGACGTGTAAGCGCAGATTGTTGTCACCTGGAAAATATTAGTCTGAAAAAACGTAATGAGTAGGACAGCGATGGCGACCAGTTGACCGATATCTTGAAGCCTGTCGACAGATACAACAATTATGCGGTTATTTGGGTTGTGAAAAACCGATAGAACGGAAACAACAAAGGATTGGACCCTCCCAAATGTTTCGATGAGATCGTTCTTGAAGTCCGCAGTCCAGAGGTGGATTGTGAACATTTACATGTTGCCGGGACAACCTAACCTAACCTAACCTTAATCAAAACCCACCCCACGTACTCCAAAATAATCGTTTTCGACATTATAACACTATAAAACTCTGTTTAAACGTCATAACGTTCGAAATGCACCGCTAAACATGATCATAAATTAACCAAATGTATAGCAAATTTAAATTTATGCAGACGACGAGGATGATGATGACCTACCAGTGCTCGAATTGAGGGGGGGACGGAGTACCCTAACTAGTTATCAGGAAATTAAGCACTGTGACTTACACGAACAGCAGAATCGAGATGCCCGTGTTGGCCAGGTACCGGTGGATGAACGTGTTGAACAGCAGGTCGACGACGAGCAGCGAAAGTTGGACGACCAGCATCAGGGTGTACCTGAACGCGGAAAGTTGCATTGTCCCGACTGCTGCCGGTGCACAGGGCTAGGACAGCACTCGTCGGACTCGGGGACGGCTCGAGGCTTTTGTTTTGGAAACCGACCACCACACGGTCCCTATAGCAACACTGAACTGCGCCCACGCTCGCACATACGCCGTTCGTTCCGTTCGCTGAACACGCGGCGACGGCAACGGAAATGTACGCACGCACGCACGTGTATACGAATACGATGCTCGATCATTATTTGGTTCAGGTAAAAAACAACAAAAAAAAAAAAACCCCTTTCGGCGGACGACAGACTGCTGTAACGCATGTCCAACTGTTGCGGAAAGAACCGGTGCGTGCAACCCGAAAAATTGTACCGAAAAAACGACGTAGGACGAACAGCAACGCAAACATGTGCTCTAGGACTCGAATATTTGCACCAAAAGTTATTAATGAAGTTTTGGGAGACATGAACAGAATATCTATTCCATTTAGGAGGGTTCCGTTTAAAGAAACCGAGGCCCTGCGAGCACTACTCATTATTTCTGGAAACCTTTTTGAATAGTAAAAATAAAAAATGGTTAGACAAAACAATATAATCGATTAAAAATTCCTATTTACATTTCGTTCGGTAGCATAATTAATTGCCAAACTCAATAGTGCGTTCGCTCGAAAAATATTATAAAAATAAATTTTATTTCTGTGTTCGTGTACCGTATGCTCACATATTATGTCAGTTAATCGAAGGACACGGTTCAAACGTAATGAGTCGACGGAACACATAAATATTTACGTTTGAGGAAGTCGAACAAATTTTTTTTCATAAATTAAATAGCCAAACCAATTTACGTCTTTTTGGTTTTTTTTTTTTTTGTCTACTGCAGTAAAGCGGACTACACTCGGTAGGGTAATTATGTATAATTATCTTCGTTATGTTTTCGGTGTGCAGTTCTATCGCGCGTAGTGCTACGGAAGGTCGTTTTGACATTGCATTGTATAAACATAAAATATTTAACACGAAATGAAAAATAACCGAGGACGAGAAATGTCCGATCGGAGGGGGTGGTAAATCCCCCTACTGAGATCTGTGTATTCGGTTCATTGATAAACGAAAACCAAGAAGTATATACGCGTTGAATAGAACAAAACGGATCGTTGTCGTCCGTGTTTGAAATAAACGTTTCGTAACGAGTCCGAAACGGAAGAAAACGTATTATGAACACTTGACCGTAATAATTATTAGAAACATATTTGATGGAAAAATAAAACTACTGTTAAAAATGTTTGGTTCCAGTCGACTGGCCACACAAAGTTCGATCGCAGAGTAGAAAACGCATTAAATAAACGTTGATATTCGCAATGAGTTATATATTAAAACACAGTACGTTGATCATACGATTGGTAAATAATACAATTTGGAATGCTATATCATCTTAGCGAAAATATCAGCTAAGTATGTATGCTTAGGGTACATTTTAAAATATATAATTTACAAAGTATTGCAGTATTTTATTTTCAATTTTAACGAAATATTTCAAAGAAGTTCGATTATAAATCGACACATTTATATTCTTATATTTTATGCTTTAACAGTGATTTAAAAAATATTAACATAATTAATACATCTTTATTTCTCTATAAATAATTTATCATATTTGTTCGCAGCGGTAAGTATTTAATTTAAATTAATTATGCATTGCAAATAAGATATCAACTCAATGAAAACTTTTTAGTAGATAAATTTGTTATCCCGACTTAAAGTTACCATAATATTGTTATATTATTAAAATTATAAGAAAGTATAATGGGAATTAATAATTTATACTTGTACCCAAATCAATTTCTATTATTTCAAAGAGTTCGACTGGTAAAACTACAGTTTCAATCTCGTCAATCTATAATATACATACAATAAGTTAGTATTAGCTTATTTATAAAAATGTCGGTGTAAAACTTTTACCCCACACAATAATAGTTTAAGACAAGCGGGTAAATATAATAATATTCAGATCTATGTAACTATGGTGGTGAGCCAACTATAATTTATTCACTATTCGAAACGTTCTGAATCGTGAATATCAATTATTTTTTAATGCGTGCGCAAACAATTAATTATTACCGCTACCACACACAAAGAGGTGTACAAAATATACGCATGACATATTTTATGAGTAACAATTAATGTGTTATTGACTCTATATATTATGCGTTTAGGATGTACATATTGTAATGTTTTCGAAAATAAACATTATACAACAATTAAAATAATTTATTGAACTTGAATTGGTTAAAAATAAAAAAATATTCTTAAGAATCAACTTATGCCACCGATTAGTTGACGTTCTGAGAGTCGTTAAAATAGCACAGCTTGAAAATCTAAAAGTCTATAGGGTTGTAAATCGAAACGAAAATACCTAAAGAAACTTGATGAGTTAAGCGGGAGTAAAAACCGTCTTTTTTGGTTTGAATGTATATGTAGTTTAGTAGTAACCGTGAGAACGTTATAAATCAATAATGTTTTACAGTAGACGATAATGGGTTTTAAATTGTTTTTTTTTATGACAGTTGCACATGTTTCTAGAGGGAAAATTACTTTAAAGCTGTCGATTAATATCCGGTTTACATTGCTTAAAAAAAATATTTTAACAATAAATATAATATTGAGGTGCATTGAAATCGATCAAACTCGATAAATTATAATATGTTTGTCGACGTATGAAAAGAAATAAGAAATATATTTAGACGCCCTTCGTCTAACGTAATCATACCAGTAAAACCGAGACATTTCCTGTTTACAATGTTTTTGGATATTTTTAAAAATAATTTAGTGATAATATTTTATGCCACGTGTTGAAATCGACCAAACTCGAAAAATTACAACGTATTCTTCGAATAATGTCAGTGTAACAGTGCGAATAATAAGCAACAATCCCCTTAAGCTTTGTTATCCATTTACCGTGATTACATTAATGCGTATAAAAATGTATTCTTGTGACACTTCCGGGCGATTTCTCCTCGATCACCGGTTGTTTGTATATTTTTTTTATGATGCCTCACAATAACCTAACCCAACGTCCATCAACTGATCCATTCACTTGAACTACTTGGAGTCACAGATTTCTATAATGCAACAGATAAGGAACTCTTATGTCACCATAGACCGAACAAGTTCTATATATATATAATTTACATCGATATCAGTGACTCATGAATCAAGTGGCCGCCGCTATCTTGTCCACTGTCGAGATTATACTGTAATCGAATAATAAAACACATTTTTTGGTACTTGTAGGAGGATTAGTTAGGGGAGCTTCAGTCCTCCTCACCCTCAGAGTTTCAGGAAAAAAATGTTAACTCTGCTTTTACCCAGTTAAATGTAAATTCTAGAAACTTACATTATCATTATTTTAGGAATTATTGATTTAAAATTGTTCGTATTGAGTAGCGTATCTATTAATTTTCAATTACAATGTAAATATTTTATTTCATTAATTTTGTAAAAAAAAAGCTATAATTATATAATAAACATTAAAAATTTCAAATTCCTTGTTTAGCGTATTATAGAAATCTATGCTTGGAGTGATCGATGTGTTTTTAACAAAGAGCAGTGGACAAATGTCGTCCGGACCAACCAACAACGCGCAGCGAACGTATGAACATTGATGGTGTGAACTGTTGAACTACACGAGCGAAAATCAAAACCGTGAACCGGTTAAATGTTCCCCCTGTAATAATATCGTTTCCTTTTTCGGACGGACACACACACACACACACACACACACGTCAACGCGCGCCCATACGGCTCTCGTTGACGTTTCGGACCCACTCAAGGTTCCATTGTGACGCGTACGGCAGTGGCGCCGAACACTTACTCCGGCTGATTCAATCGATCTTCCTAGACAATTGGAATATTAAAATGATCGTTGAAAAAATCAAATGAATTGTTTTATGTATTACTCGGCAAATGTTTTCCGCTTAGAACGGTATAATTATTTATAGATGCTTAAAAAATAAATGTTCGGGTATTTAATAGGGTGGTAAATCGGAAAAAGTGGACGGGTGAATCCAATTGTTTGAACTGGCAGTTTCAATTTCGTTCGGCGCACGGTTTTCTGTGGGTAGGTGAACACTAGCCGGCAGCCTAATGCAGCCGCGTTTGGAAACGGAGGACACTGCTTTTTCGTCCACCATTTCGGTGGCGGCATGACCTGCCCGTAACGCCCGCGGTGTCTGAAAGAAATAAACGTTGTAAGCTTATGTGGTATACGTTCATAATGGGCCCCGTTGAGCGGATGGTAAATGTTCATTTTTTATAAACGTTCCGTCAAAAGTGAAAATCCCATTAGAAAACTAACGGTTTTGATTTTGTTCTCTGTTCGACCATCGTAAGTAGGTAGGTGCGTAGGTCTACCCTCGTGTACGGACCAAGGTTCAGCATCGTGCGGATCTTCAGGATAAATACGCCTCAACATCGAGATTTTTTTTCTTTATATGTATACGAGTATACACATAGGGTAAAATAAGTTATATAAGACTAAAAAAAAAAAAATTATGTTCCAAACACTGAGACTTTTTGTACAGACATCGTGGTTTTTGGGAAAAAAAAAAAAAAAAATGGCTCTTTCTTTCGGAAAAGATTGCCGACCGGTATGGACGGACATAACAAAGTACCTACTAAATATGCGTCGTCAGCGTTTTTACCTCGTAGACTATTGTTATACAACGTTTTCGAAAAATCGACCACCCTGCAGATTACTCGCGCGACTCGAACCGTGTGTGCGTTTTAAAACAGTTTATAACTGTACAGGGTACACTCAAACATGGTGAATAGGTTTTTTGATCAAGACCGTTTTTTTTTTTTTTTTCTGAACATAAAAACGTGAATCACATTATACGAAAAAATGGGACTATACGTGGAAGCGCGAGGAAAAGAAAAAGAAATTTCAAACGCGCCGTAGCGTTGCAATTTTTTTTTTTTTAATACCGATGGCTAAAAGCCAAAGAACACAAGATGTACGTATTTTTTTTGTTTTTATATTTTTTTTTTCATACAAAGAACCGAATTCAGTCTACTCGTTAACCTATATATTATTATTATTCGCGTTATAAGTGGTTTTTACTGAAGTCATAAGTGATACACGAGTGATCGTACAACGAAACCGAAGA